TCTGATTAATTTCGATTTTTATGATTATTATTTAACATTATTTGCAATTTCTTAATTTAATTTATCAGTGAAAAGGAAATTTTCACCTTTGTTTAAGTTTGGGTTTTGCCTCTGATTAAGTTCGAAATCTGTTGCCTTTAATCTTTATCCTTTATTTGTTGTTTACTTCAGGTAAATTTCAGACTTGTTTGCAGATTACTAAAGTTCCATTGATCCTTTCTAATTTTTTTGTTGTTGTTTCTTGTTTCTGTAATGTGAATCAGGAGGCTGCTTTGTATTAAAATTTAACATTGTGGTTTGCTCAAAATCTATTGCCTTGTGTTCTTGACTTCTTGTTCAGGTTATATCTTTGTTTGTTTAGTGCTTTATAACTAGATTTGTTGAGTTTTAAATATGCTTCCAGAAAACAGCCATTGTATGCTCAAAATAGAAAAAAAAATGAACAAGAAGAGGCTAATCATTTAAGAGGGTCTTTGAATAAATATGTTGTTAGAAATCAAAATATTAGTGAAAATAATCCAGTTAATAATCTTAATATTCCACCAAGTACTTCCAATGATTCGGTTAATATTCTAATGATTTTGAATCTATATTTGGTTTTTTATTTCATGGTTCCAAATTAGTTTCTTAATTTGATGATGAATTAAAAAATGTTTAAATTGAGTCCAACTTGACAAATCGTGAAGAATGTGATATTGATGGAAATGATTTATTGACTGAGTTACAAATTTTATAGAAAATATTGTCGAATGAAGCATACAAAAGTGAAAGTTCTTTGACATGTATATAAGCATGAATGAATATTTTTTCTAATGTTTTTGTTGCATATAGGATATTTTTGAACATGTCGGTTACGGTTCGATCATCAGAAGCATTATGACTCGAGAAAGATTGAATGGATAGCAATTTTAAGTATAGAAAGTGGTTTTTTACAAAATATTGATTATTGTAAAGTAAGAGATTGAAACAACCCAAAATACGACCCAAAAATTTTTGTTTTAATATTACTAAAAAATAAAAATCAAATCATTGAGTAACATATATATATATATATATATATATATATATATATATATATATATATATATATATATATATATATAATAAAAACCATGGAATGAGTATATCAAATGCCATAATAGCTGTGTCAAGACAAAACAGTATCAATCATAACAATATCTGAAATAAACTCCCAAGATAAAACTAAAGTTGTAGTGTGTGCAATGCCATCAACCCGAGCACTTCCCTTTGCTAGCGGAAGTACCTGAAACCAAAACTGAAAACTGTAAGCACGAAGCTTAGTGAGTTCCCCCAAACTACCACATACCATACAATAACACATAAACAACTATTGGGCCTTGCCCACTGCATCGGACTGGATTCCGAAAACTGCATCGGATCGAAGTCCGGAACTAACCAGGGCTTTGCCCTCTGCATCGGACCGAAGTCCGAAACTGACTGGGACCTTGTCCCCTGCATCGGACCAAAGTCCAGAGCTAACCGCATTGGATTGAAGTCTGGAACTGACTGGGTATAACATAGCATAAACATATCAACTAGCATAAACACATATACTGCATACTGTATCGGGTCGAAGTCCGGAACACATAACACAAGACATGCTTGAATCACAAAGACATTAAGCACACTGAACTACTACATCAGACCAAAGTCCGGAACTACTGCTAACTAGACGGGTCGGCATTGTGGTCGTAGACCCATTCCTACTGGAAGGAAAACTCACCTCGGAACTCTGGCTGCTAAGATGCTAAATCCGAAGCTGGATGACTGCTGCTCCGGAACTCCCCGGCTATAATTCCCATAAACACTAAATTGGATACCGATAACTGAACTGGGGTGAAATGACTATTTTACCCCTTGGTCAAAGTCAACCTTCTGGTCAAATTCAACATTTAGTTGACCAGACTCGTCGAGTTGGGTCATCAACTCGTCGAGTCCCTATACTCTCTTCCTATCCACTACTCGCTACTACTCGTCGAGTTTACAAAGACTCGATGACTTCTTCTTCGATAATGATATCCAGTCAAACTTCATCCGACTCGCCGAGTTGTATGAACAATCTGCCGAGTCCATCCTCATCTTATGAACACGACTAGTCTGTGACTCGCCGAGTCGTATGAACAACTCGTTGAGTCTGTTCTTGAGGCAAGAAGATTTCTTTGGACTCGCCGAGTCTGGGCGTAAACTCGTCGAGTCCTTCCATTACTGAGTTTGTGTCCCATTTCACTGAGTCCACATCCTACTCACTGATTCCACTTGTAATCTCTCAAAGGGATCAATTTGGGGACTCACGTCTCGACTCATCGAGTCCGAAGAACAACTCACCGAGTCGCTTGCGTGACATCACTATATCGTTGATTTTTATCGATTCCAAGGCATTCAATTCATAGACCTGGGTTCCTAGAGTGGGGTTTACACGTAAAGTTTCCAAATTTATGTGCATGCATGATCAAGTGAGGATTAAAAGCCCTAAATAAGCCAAAAGTGTAGATCTAGGGCTTGCATGAATGTTTGGCCTAATAAAGTTGGTGAATCTGAGCTTCTAGAACTCAAACACAACTAGATCTGATGTTCTTCTATCTCTACATGCCCCCCACTCACTAAAACTCTAGAAAGGGCCCAAAAAGTGACTAGATTAAGCTTTTATGGAGATTCAATTGAAGGAACAGCAAAGGTTCAAGTTTTAATACCTTTATATGCTCTAAATTGATCCCCCAAAAGCCTGGATCTTCTTCTTCCCCTTTGGATCCTCCTTCCAAAACTTCAAAAAGCACAAAACACTCAAGGTTTCTTAGAGAATTGCTAGGGTTTTGTATGAGACTCTTTGTTGGTGAGGGAGGACGGTCCTGGGCACATAAGATGTTTAAATAGGGTGCAAACCCTTAAAATTTAGGGCTTCATCCAGACAGGCGGACTCGCCGAGTCCCAGCATATGGACTCGTCGAGTAGCCAACTTAAATCGCGTGCAATCCCAACTCTACTCGACGAGTCGGGATACAGACTCGTCGAGTACCCCATAAGAAAATAAAATACTTAATTTAAATTACGTACCAGAAATGGGGCGTTAAAGAGATGTTTTTGTTTAAAAAATGCTCGAAAACAATGTTTTTGGTATTTTTGTAGGTTTTGTTTGTATTGTTTGTTTGATAATAAAATTTACTGCATTTTTAATTTTCTATTTTTTATATACAAAGGCATAAAAATTATTATCTCGCCCCGAGTAGTAAAAAGTAATGGACCGGCCCTAATTGGAGTTATTAGTGGTGACAAGTTAAAGGCACTAGCAAACGACATGAAAATAAAAAGGGAAAGTCTTGCTGATTTTTTTAGGGAGCATTAGTGGCGACATTAGGTCTTCCATATTGGTGTTTTCCCTATTGCCCAAATGAGAATGTAAGCAAATGATCGATTTCTTAGGTTATCAACAAACAAAGCACATAAATCTAAAAACATAAGCAATATGGGCAACGACAAGGATATTGGCACCGACAACAAACGTATTTATTTTGGTGTCACTGCTAAAAATGTCACCCTAATGCACATATTTCCTGTAATGTTTAAAGTTAAAAGGGAAAATGACTTAAAAAGGTAATAATGTTTTAAAAACGTACAAAAAACACCATTCTTCTTTTTTTTAGTGAAAAAAATACCATTACATTGAAATTTTTGTACAAAAAATACCATTACATTGAAATTTTTGTACAAAAAATACCAAAAAAATACAAATAACCCTTTAGAGTGACCCGAGGTAACTGGTTACCTCAGGTCAACTATTAAACATGCTTTAATAGCCTTCAACCACCAAATTAAGGTTCACTCTCCATCTTTAACCCCCTTCTTCATCTCCTTCTGCCCTTATGGCATCTTCAAGATCATCAAATTATTCTAAGTCAAATTCGAACATTTCCAAGAGTAGGAGTACAATTGATTATGCTCACCCTTGTCACTGTAGGAAGCCTTCCCAAGTTTGGACCTCAACTACGGCTGATAATCCGGGTAGAAAGTTCAGAGTATGTCGTAACTCACTAGTAAGTGGTTCTATCATCTATCATCTACTTCTCTTACATTATTAATTTCTTATGTGAATTTTATTACGTATATTGAAGGATAAGAAGAAGAAGAAATGTGATTTCTGGGAATGGGTCGATCAAGATGAAGAACTAATAAAACAAGACAACACTAAAGTCAAGATATCAATATTGGAAAATAATTTTTGGACTCATAAGGTGAAGGCAGATAAAGAATCAATGAGTTTCAAAAAAGACTTGGATAAATTAAGTAAAAAATATTGGAATCTCAAATTTTGTATGTTGTTGTTCTTTGTTATGTTTTTTATGTATGTTATACTGAAATGAAATGAAAATTGTAATGTAATGACTTTGGTAATGTACTTTGAAAGTTTAGTTAATTAAAAGTCTTGTATTGGAATGGAATCAATGTTTTATGGAAATAAAATTAGTTTTGATAAAGGAATGAGACCAATGATTCCTAAATATAATTGAGTGCTCACACTGGAATGGAATCAATGATTACTGGCATGGAATGGAATTAATGATTCCTGGCTAATATTGATTCTTCACAATGGAATGGAATTCATGATTCCAGGTTAATATTGATTCTTCACAATGGAATGGAATTAATGATTCCAGGTTAATATTGATTCTTCACAATGGAATAGAATTAATGATTCCTAGTTAATAGTGATTATGTACATTGAAATGGAATTAATGATTCCTAGTTAATAGTAATTGTGTACATTGAAATGGAATTAATGATTCCTGGGACCACATATTGGAATGGAATTAATAAGTCCAGCAATACAAACAAGTTATCAAAAGATACATTACCAAAGAAGTTATCAAACAACACGTTATCAAACCACATACATTACCAAAGTGGGACCACATACATTAGATACCAATAGAATATTTAAATATACACATGCATTACACCTAACCACATGTGTCTTCATCAGTTTTTTGGCTTAAATAAAAAATAGTTATCAAAAGATGTGCCCAACAAAAGATTCCCTAACAATAGCCGTCCTTCACAAAAGGTACCAAAAGATGCCCTTCACAAAAGTTATCCCTAACACTGCTCCTAGAGTGTGAGAGGATTTTCAAGACTTCCCCCTGTATCATCCTTGGTCACCACTTTCCTCCTCAACCTAAGTTTTGTGTTCCTATGATAAGGACCACACTTTATCCTTTTCAAAGTTGGAGCAACCACATGCTAATTTCCAGGATTCACCACTTGTTCATCATCCACCTCTGAATCACCTCCAACTTCTTCCTCTGAATCACCTCCAACCTCATCCTCTAAATCAAATCCAACATCCTCAGCAGCCCCATGGCCTTGTCCCTGTCCCTGTCCTTGACCCAGTCCCTTACCCTTAAATAGCTCATGGTAATCAAAGATATCTGAATCATCTACTGCATTAACCTGATTGAGAGAACATTTCCTCTTGTTATGACCTAGTTGGAAACATAAACTGCATTTAGAAGTGGTCCAAACTTTGCTAACAGTGTGTCTGTCACTTCTTTCTGAAATGCATTTAATCCTGTTCATCTTTGGTCTGCCAGGCATTCTTCTACACTTTGGTGGTAAAATGGTATTCATATCATTTAATGGCCACATTTCATATCCATTTATTAGCTTAACATTATACCTGTAGCAGCTTCCAAACATTTGTGTTGTGTACCAAATTGCTACATACTCCTCTATATTCCCATTCAAGCACAAGATTGCATAAATAACATGGACACATGGTATACCAGTCAGGTGCCATGATCTGCATCCACAGGTTCTTTTATGTAAGTCAATTGCATAAACCTCATTCAACCACTTACTCTCATATTGATGAAAACCACTTGGAGTTACTCTCCAAAACCTGTTATGAAATGTAACATATAAGTTAGTATTGATCTATATGTATTATATATAAATATAGTTATATACCTCTGTATTTTCTTCATGTCCTCAATCTTCCTTCTAATTGAGGGATAAATCTCCAAGTTCCACTTCAGGCCCTTCATTTTCTAAGTAAACATCATTTCCATGACATACACTCTAATATCTTCCAACATTGCTATTATTGGTTTTTTCTGGCTTCCACAATGGCTGAATTAAATGACTCTGATATACCATTTTCAATGGCACCACTACCACTATCTTCTCTAAAAAATGCCCTAGACCATGTGTTTGGTTTTTTCCATCAGGTGTTCATAGGCATTATGTTAATCAATTTGATCTCCTTCATGATATCTTCAGATTTTGTGGTTGTTGTGGCCTTGGCAGCACCCCAAAAAAGTTTCCTGTATTCAGCTTCTGAGAATTTTCTCTTGAAGTTGGCATAGACATGCCTAGCACATTGTTTATGCTCACATTCTGGCACTATGTCCTTAACTACTTCAATCAGTCCCTATTAAGTAACATTTGAATGTCATTATAAACTAAAAATAAAATATAAATACCATTATTAAAAAACAGTTAACTACCTTGTGTTACTCAGAGATGATGGTTAGTCCTCTGCCTTGTCCCATATCAAGGTCTTCAAGCAATAGATCCAGAAACCATTTCCAATTTGCCTTATTTTCAACTGCTACAACAGTCCATGCTAGAGGACACATTTGGTTATTAGCATCCCTACCAATAGTTGAAAGTACCTCACCTCTACAAAGTCCCTTTAAAGAACATCCATCTACACCAATCACTCTTCTACACCCCTCAATCCAACCATCCTTCACAACCTTCAAGCAAATATACATCTTTGAAAAATGGACTGTAGAATCAGGCATGATATCCACATCCAATTTCACTGTGGAACCTGGATTAGTCCTCAATAGCTTCAAACCATAACTCCTAAGCTTTTCATAGTGTGCCACCAAACCCTCTTCTATCTCATCCATTGTAAATTTTTTGGCATTTCTACACTGACCAAAACTAACTTTTAGATTAAAATCTCTAAGGACTGATGCTGCTATTTTCCTGTAACTTATTCTTGGATTATCTATTATTGTTTCCATTAACTGTTTTCCAATCCAACTATATGTAACCATTGCACCTAAACTAAATGCCCTACAACAGTTGTGTTTAGAGATTAAGGACTTAATATGAAATGATCTTTCTTTACTTATCCAAGTTGCCCACAACCTAAAACGACATTTAGACTTCTCTTCACCTTTGCAACATCTAACTAATAATCTAGTTGAATCATTTTTTTCATACCATAGTTTATACCCATTAGCAACAGCATAATTGCTTAACAAATGCTTAAGTTCATAACGATCACAGAATTTCATACCTAAGACTGGAACCATTGTATCCCATTTTGGTTAGGATCATGAACTGGATACTTATGAAGATCTTTTTTGACATCTTTCTTATCATCTACAACTCTTGGAGGTCTGAAAAATTTTCTTCTAATGAAATGACCATCAGATGGTTGTATTTGTATCACTTCATCATCAGGTTCATGCTCCACAAACTCATTATCTGAAAGCTCAGAGTCTACATCATCATCATCATCATCTGTATTACCATCTATCGATCCATCTTCAGCTATCTCTTCTTCAATCCACTCCATAACTGTCTCCTGACTGTGATCAATGTGCAAATTGATCGTACCCCCATTCTCATATCCAACATCAAGGAAACGAACATAATGATTTTCATCTTCCAAGGCTCTTAACCCATCTCTCAGTGAACGTTGTGGAAGACAATAGTACACATTGATTCTTCCATCCTTGACCAACTTCTTTACATACGAGATGAACTCCATGAAACTCATGCTACTGAATCGATATTGCTAACAACCACTTTTACTGGATTGAAATACACAATCGGTTTGGGGACAAAAGAACCTGTGTGATTTACTTCGATTGTCAAGTTGGAATCCATTGTGGTGATTTTGTGGAAATAGGAATGGCAATGGGGCGGGTTCGGGGCAGGGCATAGATTCCCAAACCCGCCCCGATAACTTTCGGGTATCTTATCGGGGCGCCCCATTGGGTTTCGGGTATCTTATCGGGTTTACAACAACTGATAACGAAATCTTTATTCTCTTTTAGGGTACCCCAATGTCTTATAAAATATACATGTTCTAGCAACTCTTTTAAATTAAAAACATGATGCATCACTTTAATAAAATAAACTGGACGTTATATAAAAAATTATTTGATTTAAGTTTTGTTTAATACGTCAAAACATATAAAAATGATCATTAACACCAGATTGTTAATAACTAAAAAAATTGTCCACGATAAGTATTTTATATTTGAACGTGTACAATTAACAGCAAATTTTTTTGAACATATTATATATATATATATATATATATATAATCGGGGCGGGGCGGGGCGAGGCGACGATAACCCACTCCCTGCCCCGAACCCGATAAAAAACCCGATAACAACCCGTTACCCGACCCGAAATGATCGGGTTTCGGGTTTCCCCATCGGGTTCGGGTTTTTTTGTCATCCCTATGTGGAAATGATGAACGAACTAAGGAGAAGGAAAGGAACCCATGATTTTGGAGGAACTAACGAAGGGTAAGGGCACATATATTCCCATAAATCTTTTAACCGGCTAACTAATAGTATTTTTTTCACTAAAAAAAGAATAATTGTGTTTTTTTGTACGTTTTTGAAACATTATTATCTTTTTAAATCATTTTCCCAAGTTAAAGTCCTAAACGTTTTTATTGTGAGGAGGATAAACCCAAGTTTTGGTTAGAAAGTCAAGATCCTAAATGTCACTTACCACCCTCTTTCAACAAGATTCCAAACGTTTTTATTGTGACGATAAACCAACTTCATTGACTTGATTATTAGTGTAAATCTCGCTCCCTGGTCCAACCCTTAATTATGTATTTGCCAGTATGTCAACGTAATTATATCTATATATTGTGTTTAATGAGAAAAGATTATTAGTTATCACACTCTGATACCATTCTAATCTAATGATTATCCATGAATAATCTTTTCTCATTCTGCACAATATATAGATATATAATTTCATGGACACATGCCAAGATATACACAAGTACGTACAACACAATAATATATTTACACTAACATCGACAACAAAAGCCTAGACATTTTTTTGGGAAGACATAATTAAGTACATCCAAGAGTTGAAGCTTGTGAAAACCGGACATGAAACTTTTTTTTTTTTGAGTTTCATTAATCTCATTTGGTTCACTACTCAACCACCTTAAGACTATTTATTCCAAGCTTTTGAATACAGCCAAAAACGATTTGCATCTAATTGCATCACTAAATCTAAATAATTTCATCCAATCAAAATAGTTCAAACTCTAAAACGATAAGTACATGTGATAAATTTAAAGCACTTATGGTGGAATAACTTTTTGGGAGCTAGAAGAAGAAACCATTTGTGTTTGATGCTCCTTCCTCGTGTTCTTGTATGCCTCAAAGAAGTCTTTATTCTCCTTTTCAAGTTCACACCACACTAAATACACATAACATATGTAACATGTTTATAACCAAAAGGTAAAAAGAGACATTGAAGTAAAAGACATTGCATGTGGAGGACGGCGGTTTTTCAATTTGATTTATAATAATATGGGGATTTTTATTATAATCTATATGGAAAATATCATATTCAGACTCGCAGCAATATTCAAATTATCTTTAAAAAACTATAACTTTGTTGATTTTGTTGTTCTTCTTCCTTTTATAAAATATTAGTATGTGATTATAAAACATAAATCTTAAAAAGAAAACAACAAATGATGTCAAATTTGTTATATTTTTATCCCGTAAACAATCTATTATAGTCGTAGACTATTTTGATTCCATATTCCAAAAACTTATGATTTCCATACTAGCATCCAAAATAAAATATTTGCAATTAAATATTTATAATACTCCCAAGAACTAAAATAAAGACGATGTATATCCACCAAAAAATATCCAAATATGATTTTAAAATATTTGCAGCGATTAAATATATTATAAGTATTCACCTGCTGTACAATATATTACTTATAAAATTTATGATCAATATGTCAATTGTTTCTTTTATTAATTACTATCTTTTTAGTTTTGCAACATAATAAATGATGATTAGTTGATTACCAGTAGAAGTAATGGCAGGCATGATGTTTGCATGCTTAGAAAGGGCTTCCATGCATTCTTCTTTGCTCATATTGAATATTAAACACTCCTCTATCAAACGATGCACCTACAAAAATACATCAAAACGAAAAAATCACATATATATATATATATATATATATATATATATATATATATATATATATATATATATATATATATTCAGAAATCAATATGAAATTGGATGACTCAAAAACAAAGGGTGGAATCCGAAAACGATTAAGTTACTTCAAAGATGAATCAAAAACTTACAACCCATGCGCCTTTCAATGTTTAGGGGTTTGAGTCCAATTTAGCAAAGTAAAAATGATGGTTACATGTTCATGTACAGTATCTAATATGGATCAAACGACATGTATCCAAGGTTTTAAAATCACAATGATATATACATGTAATATCACTGACATGCATGTATATATCCTTGTGTGTGTGATGACATGGGGTTGAATAAAATCTTGATGCGTAGGTTAAGAACAAGGAAGAAGAGAACCCACCATGTGAATATATGAAGCAGAAGAATCAGCCATATTTATGATCTAAAAACCCTTTTTCTTCTTCTTCTATAAGTTGGAGAGAGAGAGAGAGAGAGAGAGAGAGAGAGAGAGGAAAGACAGAAGAGTGGGTAGGCTTTGATCCGAGCAGTTCTTGAAAAAGTTATGATAACGAGTGTGTATTATATATATATATATATATATATATATATATATATATATATATATATATATATATATATCAAAATATGGTTAATCTGGATTTTATATATTGAGGACATGCACAAGAACAAAAATGTTTGTATTGTTTTTAGTTTAAATAAAAAAAAAAGTTGGATGAGTTTCTTTAAGGAATGGAAAAGAACATGAGTTACTATAGATTTCCCCTAGTTAAAAAAGGACAAAAGAAAACAAAACACCCATAATAGAGATTAAATAGTAGTATAATATTATACAATAAAGTATTAATTAAATATATAGAATTAGTGTGATGGCTGTACAATTTGTGGGTCCTAGTTGCCACGTGAGAGGATGAATTTGATTGGTTAAAAGAGATTAGGAGGATTTTTAGGTAACACAGACTTTCCATGTGGCACCAGCCCACGTGAAATGGGTCCAATTTTGACCCCCACCAAGTCAGTAAAACCAAAATTTGAACCGGATTAGTTTAATAATAACAAACCCGGCTCATGTCATCACATGGTTAATGGTTTTAAACTTTAAATATAATTTAGGAATTTAAAATAATAATAATTGGACAAACCCGTGAAGAGTAGCTTTATTAACATTCTAATTATTTTAGGTAGCATTTATAAATACTTTTTAGAGTGTTTTTGAAGCAAAATGATTTTTGAGCTAGTTTTAGTGATTTGGCTTACCAATAAGACCATAGTGGCACCACCGCATACCATGAACATCACACGCGACGTGAGAAGAAAACAATGCTATCTTTATTTTTCTATGTTTTCTATTATTGTCCATTACTCTATATTTTTTAAAATTATTTTCTATGTATAAAAATGTGAAATAAAATAACTTGCGATTAAACGACAAAAAAAAAAAAAAAGTAATGAAAAGGTTCAACCAATGGCCTCCAAATGTGAGGCAGGGGCCAGGGGTTTATCTTATACTGTATTTACATTATACATAGGTCATCACGCCTATCCATATCTTTGATTTAAGCCCGCCTACCCAAGTCCATCCCAAACAATTTTTTTACGGTTTTTCGAAAGTTTAATATTTTTTTTAACTAATTTGATCCAATTGTTTTTTTTTTTTTTCTACAAAATGAAAATAGTAATAATAATAATTACAACTTTCTATATAAGTTACTTGTTTATAACTTTTTACAACTTCAATTCTTACGAAAATACTTTACAAAACTAGTTTTCTTTAGAAAAATACTATTTTACAAAATGTAAATGTAAATTGTTCACTTCAAAAATATAAATCGATCTCGATTTAGAAAATATAATCTTAATAAATTAACAAATAAACATTTTTTCAGTATCATATGAGATTTAAAAAAACTTATGACGACAATTTATCTAACAATGGACCAACAAATTCTAAAATCTTTTAAATTGATTAATTGTATACATCAAGAATTTCTTGAAGTCATGATATCAATATAGTTCATAAGGTAAAACCATACAAGTACAAGGTCCAAACTCCCTCCTACTATAAAGAGATTAATTTTGTCCAACGTAAAAGATGGATTAAACCCATTAAAAAAAACAAATAGTTTGGAAGAACGCCCAATGCAACAAGTACAATAAGAGATTTATCATAAATTTCAAAATTATGTTCAGTTAACCACAACAAAATTTTAGAGGATCAACAATAAATATTGTAGCCTTTTAAACGATTACGGGTGTCCAAAAAACACCTCGTGAAGAAAATAAAAATAGGAAAATATCGTTTGATCCCTCATTTTCTCGTCGACATTTCATTAAATTCCCTCGGTTTTGTTTGTGTGTTCTTTGCAGAATGAAGAAAATGACTAAGAAACCAAAAGATCACAACAAAATATAAACTGTGGAACCAAAATCATTCAAACTGTGACCACAAAACCTTATATCGATGTAGAAACAACATATACATATCAAACATTCAAACAAGCAAACACAAACACAATCACAAACACAAAGGCAAAAGCA